AAAAAAAAAAAAAAGCTCCTGGTTTCAGATACACAGTAAGATTCAGACAAAACAAAAACAAAAAAACCTCTAAACGGAAAAGTGTATTTGATAAGTGTGCATGAACTTGGAGAGAGATGATAGAGGATAGATAGTGTCATGGATTTTTTAAAAAATTAATTTAAGGGCTGGGAGGCAGAATCAAGTGGATTTCAGTGAGTCAGAAGCCAGCCTGATCTACAAAGCCAGTTCCAGGACAGCCATAGCTACACAGAGAAACAATGTCTCCAGAAATCAAATAATAATAAATAAATAATTTAACTGAGGCCCTTAAAGGAGAAATAGAGTTAAAAAATTTATAATGGGTCATGTAAAGATGGAAAATACACAGTCTGGATTATGTATACTAATGTGTTTTTCTGAATTTTTTGACTATTAATGAGCTCTTCCCAAAGACCTAAATTCACTTCCCAATATCCATGTGCAGTGGCCCATAACAGCCTATAACTCCAGCTCCAAGTAATCCAGTGCCTCTTCTAGCTTCTGCAGGCAGAACACAATTCATATAATAAAAATTTTTGTATTAAAAAAAAGTTTTACACGTATTTAATCCCAGCACTCGGGAGGCAGAGGCAGGCAGATCTCTGTGAGCAAGTTCCAGGACAACCTCCAAAGCAATAGAGAAACCCTGTCTCACAAAACCATACAAATAAATCAATAAAATAAAATAAAAAAGTTTTAGTCAGGCACGCCTTTAATCCCAGCACTTGGGAGCAGAGGCAGATCTGTGAATTTGAAGCCAGCCTGGTCTACAAGAGCTAGAAACTCTGTCTGGAAAAAAAAAGTTTTAAATAATAAACTCAACAAAGTATCAAGATATAGTCAGAGAGGTTAAGAAGGGTATTGTGTTAAAAGCATTTTCTGGGTCAAGTCTGGAGACCTGAGTTAAACGTTTCGATTTTATGGTGGATAGAACAGACTCTCAAAAGTTGTTGTCTGGTCTACACACCCACACCGACCCTGTTGCACGTGAATACATATCACACACACATATAATAAGATTTATAATTAACATGTAAAAATCAATTGCATTTATATATACTAGCAGTAAACAGTCTAAAAGAAATTACAAAATCAGGGGCTGAAGGTTAAGAGCACTGGCTGCTCTTCCAGAGGAACTGAGTTCAATTCCCAGCAACCACATGATAGCTCACACCCATCTGTAATAAGATCTGGTGCACAGGAATACATGCAGGCAGAACACTGGGCACATTATAAATAAACAAATCTTTTTTTAAAAAAGAAAATTACACCGGGCGGTGGTGGCGCATGCCTTTAATCCCAGCACTCGGGAGGCAGAGGCAGGCGGATCTCAGTGAGTTCGAAGCCAGGCAGGACCAACAGCCACCAAAACAATACAGAGAAACCCTGTCTCGTAAAACCAAAAAAAAAAAAGAAAAGTACAAAATTAATTGAATTTGAGATAACATCAAGAATAAATTAATTTAGCCAGATAATTAAAAGATTTGCATAATGGAATTACAAATATTACTGAAACCAGTTATGGAAAATCTCAACACTCGGGAAACTAAGACTGGAAGATCAACATACTGGAGGGTAACCTAGGCTTTGGAAGCCTGTTTCAAAGATAACAAAAACAAAAACCTGCAAAACTCATTTCTTGATTTTAAAACTTATTCTAAAGCTATAAGTAATGAAAACTATATGGGACTGACATAGACAGACATTAGACTAGTGGAACAGAGCGCCCACAGATAAATGCTCTCATAAACAGGCAAATGGTTTTTGGCAAGTGTGCCAAAACTCATTCAGTAGGATAAGAACAAGCTTTCTAACAAATGGTGCTAGGAAAACTTGGTATCCACATACAAAATAAAGAAGCCAAAAGTTCTCCTAACACCATCCAAAAAAACCAAAAAAACCCTCAAAGTGAACCAAAGACCGAAATTTAGAGAAGGACTAAAAACCCTGACAACACTGGCTTTAGCAATGATTCCTTGAGTAAGACACCAGACACACAAGTGACAGCATCAAAAATAGGCATAGTGACTCACACATGTGACCCCATAACTCAGGAAGCTGAAGCAAGAGTTCAAACCCAGCTTGGACAGCCAATTGAGTTTGAGGCTAGCCAGAAAGCTATGTAGTGAGATCCTGCCACAAAACACAGACTCTACCACCCAACAGTCCAAGAAAGCCTCATATATTGCTTATTAAAATTTAATGACAGATTTGCATCAGAAACTACTTGATACAGAAAAGACTAACCAGATCAGAAAAAAGAAAAACCTATACTAAAATGACAGACACAATATAAACATTTTTCACTTGTAAAAAATGTAAAAGAAATCTCTTAAGGCAAGGCTTGAAGTGGAGGACAATAAGGACACATGAGATGTTTTATTTATCAATTTGAGTGACAAATAAAAAAGCATGTTTGTTACAGTGGTCTTTTGTTTGTTTTTGTTTTTTGAGACAGTTTCTTTGTGTAGCCCTGGCTGCCTTGGAATTCCCTTTGTAGACCAGGCTGGCCTCGAACTCAGAGATCCACCTGTCTCTGCCTCCTGAGTACTGGGATTAAAGGCTTGTGCCACCACACCCACACTGTTAGTGTTCTTTATAACATTTATAACTCAAATATTTCGCAAGTAACAAAGGAAATAGTAGCACACAGAAAGGTAATACTGTATAATAATTATAATAACAAAAAAGCTGCAATATAACTGTAAAAAAGTGCATTTGTTGGGCTAGCAAGATAGCTCAGGTTAAGAGCACTTATTCTTCCAGAGTACTGGATTTCTATTTCTAGCATCCACACCTGGTATCTCACAACCACCTGTAACTCCAGCTCCAGCCTTCTTCTGATCTCCATGGGCACTTGAATATATGCACTTACATACTCACACATATATACATAACATATATATATATATATATATATATATATATATATGTATGTATGTAGAGAGAAAGGGAAGGAGGGTTTCTCTTTGCAGCCCTGGCTAGCCTCCAATTCTGCCTATAGAGATCCACCTGCCTCTGCCTATACAGTGCTGAGATTAAAGGCTTGAACCACCACTGCTCAGCTAAGTTCATTTGCTTTCCTGTTGATTAAAAATAAATCCCCAAATTAAGTAACTAAAATAAAGCTCCAGAATGCCATAGTCAAATGTCCTTGCCTAGACTGGAGGTCACTGCCACACTTCCTCTCTGACACCTAGTTTAAAAACATGGCCATCAGTGAAGTCTGGTAGCTCAAGACTGAATTTCTTGTAACTCCAGGGCTCAAGAAGCTAAGGCAGATAAACAGTCAAGAGTTTGAGGTCAATCTCTAGGCAACACAGTAAAACTCTGTCGTCGTCCCCCCCAAAAAAAACCCACAAAAATGGCTGGGCTGTGGTAGTGCATGACTTTAGTCCCAGCACTTGGATGACAGAGGCAGGCAGATCTCTGAGTTTGAGGCCAGCCTGGTCTACAGAGCGAGTTCCAGGAGTGTTAGGGCTGTTACACAAAGAAACCCTGTCTTGAAAACACCAGGCAAAACCACTAAAATGACAGGCACAGTGGCACACACTTGTCACCCAGCACTTAGGAGGTAGAAACTTTAGAATAAGGCCTACAAAGTCATCTTGTGCTACACAGACAGCTCAAGATCAGAATGGACCACAAGAAATCTTGTGAATGGAAAAAAGGAACCCCACACATACACAAAAACTACAAACCAAAACAAAAGAAAATCTTGTCATCCTTGGTATCTATACTTAGTCATCAAAGCTTAGTAAGCAATAATCTGAACGTTTTTAAAAATTTTCAATTTGGGGAATACTATCGGATTGACAAAAAAGTCACAAGGGCAACTTTGAACAGCACACTAATATACCGATAAAATCTCTAAAATGTTGGAGGCTTAAAAAAAATCAATCGCTACTTATTTTTTAAACAGCACATTCAACAAGTATCATCTTTTCTCTACAAGTTTATATTCAAAGTGGGTAGTGGGGTACCTGTAACCATGAGCAGCAATCCCAGCTACCTATTTTACTGAGACAGTAAAATAGGCTAGCTTATACCCAGGAGTTCCAGCTCAGCCACGGTAACATCACAAGAAATCATTAAAACGACTTAAAAAGTCGGATAAGCTATTTGAATGTCAGTTGGACGAAGAGTTGAACCCCACATCCTCCCTTTACTCACAATTCTCCTTTGGTATATGAGCACAGGCAGATAAAAGAGAGAGATGGCTGGGGGGGTGGGGGGAGACGACAGACCTTTAATCCCAGCACTCGGGAGGCAGAGGCAGGAGGATGTCTGTGACTTCCAGGCTAGCCTGGTTTACAAAGTGAGTTCAGGGCAGTGAGAGCTGTTACACAGAGAAAACCTGTCTCGAAAAGAAAGAAAGAAAGAAAGAAAGAAAGAAAGAAAGAAAGAAAGAAAGAAAGAAAGAAAGAAAGAAAGAAAGAAAGAAATGTTGCACCACAGACAATGCTTGTGAACTTCATAAGCTTAGCTTCCAATTCTTAAATTCAGTGATGTCTACTTGGTTAATGAGAAGTGAATAAACTATCACATCTAGAATAAAGAAAATTAGCGATAACTCTTTCCGAGGTGAAAGTAACCCCCAGGCAAGCGCCATACTACCTGCAAAGTAGACGTGAAGCTTTATTCCCAAGCTGACAACATGCATGGAGCAGCACAGAGCAATGACACCTAAATCTCCGGCGACACGGTTTTTTAAACCGGAACTCACTTCCCAGTGAAGAGCAACATCCAACTCTTTGCGAATGCAGCATCACTCTAACCAACACCAACATCCCTTCCCCTCAAAAACCCTAATTTAGATCTCAACCTGGCACCACTTTTATCGAACAAAACGCGGGGAGTCTAGAAACGGGCTTTTAAGATTCCTTCCGAAAATGCAAACAAATCGCTCTCACGAACGGAGCAGGAGGGAGCCCAAGAGCGAAGCCTCCACGTCTGGACTCGTACCAGCCTCTCCTTACCTGCATCTCACCACCACCTGGATGTTCTTGCCCTTCTCCTCTTTCTTCTTCGAAGAAGAACTCGGCTGGGACGCCATGACGCTCGCGCCAAAAACCTGCCGGCCTGGCGGTGACTCCGACACTGCGGGGGACTGGGCGCCCGCTCCCTCTCGTCCGGTGCTGCCGCGGCCTGCAGGACCGAGTCTCGCAGCTCAGCCAGAGTCTCCACGGTGCACGCAGGCCTCGGGTCGTGGCCACCGTCCCGCAACAACCGGGCGGACGGAACCTCCCAGCTGGCCTCTGCACCAAAGCCAGCAACGATTCGGCGCCTCAATTTGAAAAAAGGAGTCGAGTTACGGAGCCAATAGCCGCGCGGCGCGGCGCGCAAGGCATCATGGGACGCTGAGTCGTCACCGCGCCCATGCTACAGCGAGGCTGAAGGGAAAATGGTGAGGGCTTGCGGGTCCGCTGTGCGGAGCGTGCTGTGAGAACCCGCCGCTGGCGGGCTACTGGGGCCAGGGACGCCTACGCAGCCATGCTCGCTCGCTCGCCGGGGCTGCCCGCCTTCCGAGGCCTCTCGCTTTCCGTAGAGGTGACTCGGTGGGGGTCCGTGGAGGCGGCGACTGGGCCCGTTAAGGTGTAGGTGGCGGCCCGGGGAACGGCAAGGACGATTCCTCCGCCGCGTCTCTGTTTGACGGCATCTTAAATGCCGGTTAGACTCTTCTCTAACTCGCGGGTGCGGGGGAGAGCGCCCATGTACCTCCCAAATACCTGCTTCCACGGTCCAGATCCCTGGTCTTCTCGCTTAATTGTAGTCAACTGTCTACGGATGAAACTACCGTGTCCCGGAGACTCGCTGGCATCTCAAATGTCACACAAAGTGGACACACCGTAGCCCCGGTTGTCCTGGAACTCGCTCTGTAGATCCGCCTGCTTCTGCCTTCTGAGTGCTGGGACTAAAGGCGTGTGCCACCACCGCCTGGCGGGTTTCCTTGTTCTTAAACGGAGGTAATAGAAATCATTGTTATCTGAATCTCAGATCTGTTGCTTACTAGATGCTTTACACACACACACCCTTCCAGTACCGCAGAGTACAAGTTCTCACCTCTCTGCCTTGAAAGCAACGCCAGAAACATGCTTATATAGGTTGAGCCATAAAATAAGTTATCATGACTGTAAAATAATACCTTTTCCAGGAAGACAGCTCTCCCACAGCCTATTCCTGTACCATCGTCCTGTGAAAGCGTTTAGGAGGCGCTGAGGATTGAACCTATGACTCTGTATGCTAGGCAAGTGCTCTACAACTAAGTGACATTCCTAGCTCTTAAATGTTATTTTGTGTATGTGAAATTTTTTTTACTTTTTAGTGCACCTGTTCCACTGTTAACAATTATTAGAGGATTAAGATAACACGTAAAGTACCCAGCAGGTAATATTTTTTAAAAAGAAAAGAAAATTTTCTCCTCAGTAAATATCAAAACAGTATCTACATGAAATCTTTTAGATTATTTCAGAAATTCAAGAAAATAACATTTTAAATGCAGATGAGGGGCTCAGTACTATAGCTTTGGGCTAGAATGCAATGAGACCCTGCTTTTGATCCCCAGCACTGAAAAAACATTGTTTTAAGGCGGGGTATTTTGGCACACACCTATAATCCCAGCACTTGAGAGGTGCTAGTTTGAAACCCTGTTACAAAACAAGCAGAAAAACAATAAAAGTACATACAAGAAATTCAGTTGTCTTCCTTCCTGTGTTTTCTGAGACAAGATTTTGTTATGGAGCACAAACTAGCCTCAGACTCCTAGTGACGTCATTCCCCACCCACCTCACTCAGGGTTGAGACGACGGTATGCTCCACCATGCCTGCCAAGAGCTTCCAATAACGGATAGAGCTACCAGTAATCTAGGACGTGCTACACGAGAGGGTTTGTGCATATCACATCAGTATTCAGAACAACTCTCTGGAATGCAGCTACTATTTCACAGTAATAAACCAATGGGTCAAGTAAGCATAGCGTCTGTGGCCATACAGCTATTAACCATCGGGGAAAGTTGAGAGTTATTTCTGACCTCAAATTCCAGACTGTTAACTACTGTTTGCCCCACCTAATTTTTTTGTTTGCTCAGTACATATGTACTGAGTTTCACAGTATCTTTATTTGCTGCTTACTGTGGGCCAGACAATGCAAACAGGCTGAATTATTGTCTGGACCACAACATAAACACTAATGGAGGTGGTCAGGCTCCATGAATAATTGTACTTTTTGCTGCGTTAAGCAGGTGGCTGTTTCTGAAATGCTGCTTTACTGCCCTTGTAGACCTCAAACTACTACTAATCAACATTTCTCTCAAAAGCGCACAGGGCTGTGGATATGGCTCAGTTGAACAGTGGCTACCTACTGTGCCTGAGGCTCTGAGTTCAATTAAAAAGAAATATGCCCGCTATTACAGATTATTTTTAGTATTTTAAGTGTGGTTAATATTCATACTACCAATGTAACATCACAGCCTGTGGGTTTGGCCTAGCATTTCTCATTCAAAAGAGTTCTGTTTTGTTTTGTTTTTTAAGTGTGTGTGTGTGTGTGTGTGTGTGTGTGTGTGTGTGTGTGTGTGTGTGTGTGATGTACTAATGTACAAAGAGACTGGTAAAGGTGGATTCCTGAAGCAAGAGTTACCTCCAGAGGGGGGGGCACGCCTTTAATCCCAGCACTCAGGAGGCAGAAGCAGGCAGATCTCTGTGAGTTCGAGGCAGGGCTGGACTGACAGCCTCCAAAACAATACAGAGAAATGCTGTCTTGTAAAACCAAGAAAGAAAGAGTTACCTCCAGCTGTGAGCTACCTGACATGGTGCTGGGAACCAAAGCAAGGTCTCACACACTCCAGGCTGTTCTTGACTCTTAAAAGTAGCCAAAGATGACCTTGAAGTCCTGATCCTTGGCCTCCACTTCCTGAGTATTGGAATTACAGTCTGAGCTCCAAGCCTAACTCAAAAGTTTTCTTTCTGGTGGCACTGGGGAGATGACTCAGTGGTTAAAAGCATTAGCTGCCCTTCCATAAGACCCAAGCTCCATTTCTAGTACCTACTTGATGACTCACAACCCTCTGAGACTCCAGTCCTGAGGGACATGAACCTCTCTTCTGGCTTCTGCAGTCACCAGGTATAGACATACATGCAGACAAGAAACTCATACATATTTTAAAGAATATCTTTAAGTCTTTCCTGCATGGTGTGGGTGTGGCAGTGGTATGGCACATGTGTCTGTTTATGTGGCTGGATAAGTCCCATGTATACACATTCAGAGGCCAGAGGTTCATATCAGGTGTCTTACTCTATTGCTCTCCACATTTTTAAAAAATAGATTTCTAAGTATTTATGTGTGTTTTACATACATTACAGAAATGTAATGAAATTTGTACCAAGTATTCTTCTACAGATGGTAAGATTCCTACTGAAGAGCATTAGAACATCATTCCCCTCTTACAAACCTATCTGCTAATTGTTTTCTCCAAACAATGGAACCCAGAGCACTTCATTTCAGCTTCTAGATGAATGAACACATTTGTTTCCATTAGCAACATCATGCATATGCTTTGCTTATGTATTCCATTTGAATTGTGATTGATAAAAAGGCAGTCATAATTAGTCAAACAAGTAAAAAACAACTTGTGCAGTCTAATAAGCAAAAAGCTTACAACAACAGCTTTTCCTGCCTCAATGCCTCCAAACACCCAGAAGCAATTGTTAAAAATTTTTGAGAAAAAATTAATAATTGAAATATTCCCAGCTTTGTAAAGAATTTATGCACACTGTTACATTTTGTTTCATCAGTTTAAAATGTTATTTGTTGACTTACAGATATGATGATTTGGTTCCTGAGTTTACCATCCTTTATACTCTCTCTGCCCAGAATACACAATATTACTGTGTTGGGGTTTTTTTATTTGTTTGTTTTCTTTTTTGAGGTTTCTCTGTGTAGCTTTGGAGCCTGTCCTAGAACTCACTCTGTTAGACCAGGCTGGACTTGAACTCTGCCTTCCCAGTACTGGGCCTAAAGGAATGGGCCACCACCACCTGGCTACTGTTTTTATTAAATCAGTATTCTGTGTTTGGGTTATTTTGCCTATTCATGGCTGAGCATTTTATTCTGGTGGCTGAGTTAGAGATCTTATAATTGTGTTTATATGCAAATCTACTTTCATCCATTGGACCAAGCATTTAGAGAATCCTTTCAGCCTGGCAACTCATTTCCTTCATTTCTCAGAAATGCTTTTGAATAATTCATCAAACATTCTACTCCTTTGCTTTGTTCTTGCTTCTGAAACTCTTATGTATTAGATTTCCACTTCCCAGCATGCACTACTATTATATCTTGATATATTTTTCAAGTTGTCTGTATATATATTTAAAAATCGTATGTTCACAATTGAGTAATTTTGCATCCTGGATTAACATAACTGAAGCATTCTTCCAAGAACTTAAAAATTGCTCCTAAGCCTCGTTCCCATTTGTACGATCTTTAAGACTTTTGAGTAATGTCTGTGAACAACTGAGAGTGCCATTCTTGATTATAAGCATGTGGAGTCATGTTAGGTTTTGTTATGTCTGGGTATGAATACTGAAGAGAACATCAGTAAGTATGTCTGCATACACCTGTAAAATATGGAGAAAGCATAGTCCATGAACTGCCTATAATCTTGTAAATAACAGTTAAAAATGCTTACATAGGGTAGGAATGTAGTTCAGTTGGTCGAGTGCTTATCTAATTTACACAAAGTCCTGTATTTAATCCCTAGAAGCACATAAATCTAGGTATGGTGGTGTATACCCATAATCCCACTGGGGAGGTAAAGGCAGGATGATTAGAAGTTCAAGTACATCCTTGACTACATAGTAAGTTCAAGGTTCGAAACTACATGAGACTGTCTTTAAAAAAAAGAGTGTAGAGTTTTCTGAATCTAGATTTTGATTACCGTCTTGTGTTTTCAAAGAGTACAATTTCAGTAGCAAAAAATGGGGAGGCCTGGTCTACAAGAGCCAGTTCCAGGACAGCCTCCAAAGCCACAGAGAAACCCTGTCTAAAAAAGTTAATAGGGAAAAGGAAAGAAGAGGTTGCCTGTTCCATTTCCTGTTTGCTGTTAGGCCAGGAACATACCAGACCCTCCTGACCCAAACACTTTTTTTTTCCATGATAGGGTTTCTCTGTGTGTAGACTGTACTGGAACTCACTTTGTAGACCAGTCTGGCCTCAAACTCACAGAAATCTGCCTACCTATGCCTCCCGAGTGCTGGGATTAAAAGCGTGCGCCACCAACACCGGGCTTCCCAAACATTTTCTATTGGTGTTTCCCACATGTGTTTATGCCTCGACTGTTCTCAAATTGTGTTTAAATTGCTGTGACAATGTTAATGTCATTTCCTTACGGGGACCCTCTCTAGCCACTTTTTCTAAGATAGCTCCCCCAGACTCAGGGCTCCTTTTATTCCTTTTCCATACACAGCAAAAGAATATATTTATTTTTTATTGTTCTCCATTATTTCTGTTCTTAGACAGGGACTCATGTAGCTCAGGTTGGCCTAGAACTTGCTTCGCAGCCAAGGATGGCCTTGAACTGCTGAGCCTCCTGCCTCCTCCATTCATGTTCGTTTTGTGCAGTGTGCTCTGTGCATATTGCAGAGTTTACTTTTTTGTGTATGTTCTGTTAGTGGACATTTAGATTGTTTCCAGTTTGGGACTATAGATAATTTTACTATTATGAATATTATAGTACATGTATTTTCATGCACATTTGTTCATTTTTTGTTGGGCTTATTTATAGATAAAATTGAAATTAATGGCTATATTAAAACACAGTTTCAGTGGGCACTACTCAACAGGTCTTCATCACTTTTGTCTGTCTTCATGCTAATATCATATTATCTTAAGCACTACAGCTTAATAATGCTATTAGTAATGCTTGCTATAAATGCTTCATACTTCTTTTAAAAAAAACTTGCATAATGGCTCATACCTATAATGCTAGCTAGCACTTGGGAAGCTGAAGCAGGAGAATCATTGAGTTCAAAGTCAGTCTGAGCTTCATTATAAAAAAGCAAACAGGACCCTATGTGCTGCCTCTGCCACCCCACTATATACCTGACCTCACGTGTCCTCCTCCATGGTCTAGCATGATAAGTGTGGTCCTCACTCCCCATCAAGGAAACTTCCCTTGGCTGCAGAGATCATTACAGAAAGCCACACCCAATC